AGGAGCCCTGAGTTTCTTGCTGGGAGGGGCCATGTAGGGCTGGGCGTGGCATGCCCTGGGGACCTGCCCTGAGCCAGCCATGACGTCTTTGTGCACAGGAAAAGGACTGAGCCCTTCCCTGGGGACCTCAGAGCCTCCCCTCGCCGTGGAGCCCTTGAGCTCCCTCCCTTGCCGGCCCTGCAGGCCGAGCGGAGCTGGGGACAAGGCTGGAGAGCCCAGAGCCCGGGCTTTGCCTCGTCCCTGCCTGCTTTTTCCCTCATGCAGACCAGTTTGCGCCTCCTCCTTGGCAGCCCCAGCGCACTCCGTGTTCCTGCAGCCAGAAGCGGGCGTGTGTGAGCCAGAAGCCCTGGCCACGCTTCTCCAGGGGCCCACGACCGCCACGGGAGGTGCTCGTGGGGCGGGAAGTGGTGGCAGGTGCTGGGTAGAGCAGGAGGGAGGGCAGAAAGCAGGCCAGGGGCTGTCTGGGCCGGCAGGGGGACCTGTCCCCTGGACACAGGGGCCGGGGCGCCATTTGCGGCTTTCACAGCTCTTGAGAACCCTTGGGGGAGCCGCAGCTCCTCCCCAGGTGGCCAGCGCACCTCCCTTAGGCCTCCCCTTTAGTTCTGGGATGTTCACAGGCCCTGCCACATGGCCCCTGGCCGAGGGGCCCGTCGGGACCACAGCTGGGCCCTAGCGGACTGAGCCGTGGAACCCAGACCAGGAGAGGAGGCCCCAGGGAGGCGGGCGCAGGGCCACCTGGCGAGCCTGGTGCCCAGTGTGGCTGGGGTCTGCCTGCTCGCCTGCTCCCCGGAGATGCTGGCACGTCACTTAGGGTAGCGTGACCAGCGAGCGCGGCCCCTGTGCCCCTCACTCCCCGTCGGGGTGCGCACCACAGCGGGACGCGCTCTGAGCACGGTGCCTGCGCTGATTCGCCTGGCCCGCCCAGCTCGGCAGAGGCCGTCAGCCCTTGGTGCATGTCCAGGTCAGGAAACCGAGGCAGAGAGCGCGGAAGTGAGCCGCCGAGGCCGCGAGCAGAGGAGTCGGGCGTTTTCACTTGCTCATGATGGGGAGTGCACGGGAGAGGCAGGAGAGAAAGAGACCCTTCCTCAGGGCCAGGTCCCGCCGCGTCCTTCCTCCGGCCCTCCCCCTGCTGACCCGGCATGTCCCGCACGTCCCAGCTGGCCAGGACGGGGATGCGCTCTGCGGTGTTTTGGGATCCAGCTTCTCTCCAGCAGTGTGTACCGCTGAGCCATGGCACTGTGGGCCCCCCCCTTCTCTTTTGAGAAGTTTTTGCCACAGGGCACTTGAACTCGCTGGAGAGAGCTAGAGAGACAGAAAGCGAGAATTCACCCTCCAGGGAGATGTCCACCCCGCAATCCCTACTCCATTCTCTTGGGATCCTGAGCACGCTTGTATACGCACCTGGTGTGAGTTTGAAGCCGCCGGGTCTGGGACTCGAACCACGGTCGACCATGTGGGACTCTAGTACCTTAACCACTACACCGCCTACTGGCCCACCACCCCCTTTTAATGTGAGAGGGAGAGAGAGGGATGGGCTGTGTGGACATAGGCTCTCTGGGTCAAGGGCCTCCTGTTCTGGCCCCCCATTTGCCGGGGTTAGCCATGCCTGGTATGTCTGGGTGGGGCCAGGACCCGAGCCGTTGCCCCC